AGTGCCATTCTGTTTTCCTCCAACAGTGCAACATAATTGGTGTGGTGTGCCAATTCCCGCTTCACCAGCCAGTAAAGGCATTTAAATCCACCCATTATTGCCTCATGCTCCAAATTCAGAATTGGCTGAAATGGTTCACTGATGGACACAGCTTTAAAAAAAAATTAAAAAAAAACATTTTTTTTTTAATGCAATTGTCAAATCAAATCAAATTATTACTTACCTTTACTTGATTGTGCAGCAATGACAATGCATGAGCTATGGTTGTTTGAGCTCATGTGCTGGTCCAATGCATCACGCCTATAATTCGTGCAGGGAGCCTCAATGAAGGGCCTCTCTGATGGACCACATGTTACTCTTTGGCGATGAATCCTACATATTCTGCAAAACATCCCTAAACAAGACAGTTGTGACTCATTATTTAACACATTTTATACATGTCAAGTGTTAAAACGAAAATTAATGCTATACTCACCATGTTCTGTGTGATATAGCCAGCCTGAATATCTCGGGTCCACAGCCCACTCTGGGTTCCACCCACTACCTTGATGCTTTGAGGGCTGGGGCTGGGGTGGAAGTGTTACTGGTGGAGGAGGAGGAGGAGGCGGCCCAGGTGGTGAAGTAGGCCGACTTCTTGGCACAAAATATCCTGATATTTTCGGTTGTTTTTTCCCATCCATTATAATTTGTCTGCTAGAGAAAACCACGTGTAATTGTCAGACATAACAAAGCCATGTGATGAGCGCATTATATTGGTAGCCGTAATAAGAAACTAATGTGTAAGCTAGCCTATCGTTATGAAACAGCATCAATATGGGCAAGCAGTTGATAGCCTAGAACACTCACTCAATTCAAATGTTTAGATGAATATTTATCTTACCTTCGTGTGTCCTTCCCATGACGACAGGCATGCTATCTGGTTGTTGGATTTAGCTTCTTTCCCGATAAAAAAGAAATGTTGGCCTTGCCACGCAGTTACAGCAGATGATAGATGGCTTAACATATTTAACCTACAGATGCCGCTATTCCGCCTCATTGCGATGCGGCCTTATTTTAACCTACTGTCTATGCATGCGGGGATGCGGAATATTTATTTATTTATTTTTGGGGGGACGTAGTCAAGGCGGGGGGCCGTTGTTGTCAAGGCGGCCGCCTTAACTATAAAGCGCTGCGGGAAACCCTGTAGTTCAAGATCACTAACCATCCTGTCCACACAGGGGAAAAGCAACTCTGCTTTCAAGGTTTGTGAGCTGATCAACTCTGTGCCTGAACCCAAAGTTGTCTCCAACACAAAATCCTCCATTTTTCTCTGTTTATGCCTTTTCTTAGCATCGGGTTCTGGGATACTGTGGGTGTGGCACAGGGCCTTGGTTCTCTCGTACATCTCTGTGGCAAATACATCTGTGCGTTTGCCCCTCAGTGTGTCACATACGGCTTGTTTGCTGATAAAAGCTTCTGCCAGGTCTAAAGTCTCTTTCTGAAGGTACTTGTGCAGTCCTTCAGTTACAGACAGAAGTGTCTGGAACATCAGTAGTGAATAGACTGTTGAGAACTTGTAGAGCTTTGCTTTGAGACCAACAGCTATGGGGGATCCAATGGCAGAGAGACACTCAAAAATGGCAGGTAATGTCTCAAGAATTGCATTGATTGATCGCAGCTGGCATGCCCAGCGAGTGTTTGAAAGTTGTACAAGCTCAACCGCTGTCAAGCCAAGCTTGGACTGAGCCTCTTGGAACTTGTGATGATTGACTAGGGAGGTGCTGAAAAAAGAATACACACACTCCAACAAGTTGAAAAGTTCCACAGCCTCTGAAACAGCCCTGCAAGTATGGCACAACACTAGGTTTAGCTCATGAGCATAACAATGCACATATATAGCCTCAGGATGGAGCCTTCTAAAATGAACTTGCACACCTCCAGTGGACCCACTCATAATAGCTGCACCATCATATGTCTGTGCTACACACTTAAGCTCTGCAAGACCATTGTTCTGGATCTGCTGCTGCAGCTCGTTTGCAATGGACTGGGCATCGAATGACATTATCTCTGTAAGTGCTAGAAAACGTTCCTTCATTGCCCCCTCTGACACGTACCTAACACAAACAGCCAGCTGCTCTGACAGTGCATCCCTTGCCTCATCTGCCATAATGGCATACATTTTGGACTTTGTCATCTCAGATACAATGACACTGGTAACTTCTTGAGCACAACACTCAATCATCTCATTCTGAGATGTTGGCGAGCTATAGGTAGCATTTGAGGGAGGGTTATATTTTTGAAGGAAAGGATCCAACTCCTTCAAAAGTTCCATGCAAGCAAGAAAGTTGCCTCTGTTTGTGCTGTCTTGGCCTTCATCACTGCCACGAAAAGAGAGTCCCTGTCGCCCTAACATGGAGGTGACTGCAACAATTCGCCTGAGATACTCCCTTCTCTCTAGTATCTCACTTGCATCTGCAGATGCTATCATCTGTGCAACGTTTCCCTGTCGGCTAGTTGCCTGGTAGCTTTGCCATGCAACAATACTGTCCCTATGTGTTTGTGCCATCTCGTGCTTGCCAAAGATAAACAATGCTTTCTTCCAGTTCTTGCAACCACTACTGACCAAAGCATCATGTTTGATGTTTTTGCCAAACAATCTACATGCAAAGCAGAAAGCTGTATAAGTTGTTGATGTTGTCTCTTCCTGTCTCTGACTTGAACAGCTTCCCTTTTCTGCCTCAGCCTCTCCTTCTGCATGAACCTTTAAGAAAAGTTCAAACATTGAAACATTAATTGATCGAAATCCTGAAGTCAATTGTATGACATGAACATTTCATGAAATAATCTAGTTTAGGCTATCCCTTGGAGTAGCCTGGGCCTGACAACAAATGCCTATACATTTTTTATACATTTCACAGTAGAAGAAAATAAAAAAACTCCACTCGTTTCCTTCTAGACCTGTAGACCACTAACCTCCATCACACCAGCTCCTTCAGCCCTGTCAGTTTCCTGCTTCTCTCTCTCATCTGACTGGGCGGAGCTGTCACCTCTGCTAAAAAATCTTCTTATATCCATCTGGTCAATGAATTGGATGATATACCGGTACAATGGCGTTATGAGGGACACTATGACATTTAGTTTTCACTCTTCATTCTATAGGCACTGATATTATTGTTTTAAAATACAAGAGATAGATATTAATGCAAAGAATAGAGAGCTATCGATAGTTATTTCTTACATTTCAAATTTGCTCGTTCACACTCTTGCTCACTAGACATTTTCTAACAAAATAGCTAGCTAGCAAGCTTAGTGTTAACATAGGTCATTACAATATTCCCTTTCATTTGCCTCAAGTAAACCTAAATTTAAGCAGGTAACAATCGTTAACAACTACAGATAGCCAAATTCTGTAACTACCTGTTCTTACAATCTCACTCCGTGCATCACTTCCTATGAGCTAAACTCCTTGGCTGTAGTCCTGCTGTCTTGATGAGAGACACCTGGCAGAGTGAGAAAGCCAGAGCAGCAGCAATGAAGACTCCCCAAGGTCCTTGTGCCCTGTCTTTTATTGTTAAGTATGATGAGAGGCTATTGGATTGTAATTTGAAGGGGGAGAAAACATACAAACCAGAAACGCACTCACATATGTAGCATGTTAGAAATAACTTGTCCATGTGTAAAACAATAGTTTAATTAAAAAAAAAATAAAAAAAAAATCCCAATAATTATTTGGGGGGGCTGAAGAACAACTGCCCAACTCCATGCACATCAATCGCACCCTGCATGTAACCCAGGTGAAAGCTGTCTCCACAAGCACTCAGGTCACATAATTGTAGTCAACTGTTGTAATTAACGTAGACTTCACACTGGCTCAATAGTAAAAAGCCTTTTCAGAGTTAAATCTGTTTATCTTTCATAAAGTTGACAACACAGAACAAACTTTGAAACTAATGTTTGAAGGGGGATTTTTAGGCCACACTCCCATTGCTCACCTTTAAAAAAAACCCGCACAACCTGTGATGGACAACCTTGGAGGCTAACGTATTCCAGTGAAAAATGCAGCTGGTAGCAGCGATGAGGCTATATGAGGGATGCGGCAGTGGCCGAAAAGGTATGTAGTTGTACAAGGGGTCGTACACTGTCTCCTCCAGTCTGAATTCCAAAGTGTCATTGGGCAAGATGTTGAAGACAAAAGTGTGGGTTCTTAATCTGCCTTAATCAAACACTCAGGAACAATGCAGCTGAATGACCTTGAAACGGATGGTTATTTCTGCAGTTTCATTGTCAAACAATCCACAAACATTTATTTTTCATGAATCATGTAGTTTGAGGCACAAAAAACCCTTTTCATATTGATCCGCTCATTGGCTCTCATTCCATTTGTGACACTACCCCCTGTCTGTGTGTGCACATCTCTGATGACATTGCACAGACACCAATCTACTTGCACACGAAATGTGTTGAATATAGTTGAATGTGAACACATTCGAAAAATCACATTGAAATATTCATTTTGAAAGATTTGTTTTAAAATATATAAATTAAAGTAAAATTAATCCATTGTGTGCATGTGACATGAAGCTCAGTTCAGGTGGGCGACCTCTGTCCATTTTCTCTTAGTCAGCTAACAATCATCCGACACTGGGACTTAAAAATCAATATGTGCCCATTAGATTAAGCTTGTCTGCTAACAACAAAGCTGATCCAAGACCAGCAGAGACAAATTCATGATGTATTATGAGGTAGGAACTTTAATTCATTGAAAACAATGTAATCTCATCAGTCATTTTGAATGAAAATCAGACTTAAATTTGGAGTATTCATTTGTTAAAATGAATGTTTCGACAGTGATGGCCACCTGTCTCTATATGTCCTTCCTCTGGCAGCATGCTTTTATGAGTCCATTAACTGGGAGAAACTGTTGCAAACCTTGTGCAAACAGTGGCCTCGTGCTGAAAAAACTAAAAAAAACAGCAGGAACATGATCACACCACTTTGATTTTTCCCATGCTCAGTCCAAGAGAGTTTTTAACCGGCTGTGTTCTACATATATGCTGATTATATCGCCTTTGTACCGACTTAGTGATAGACTGTTTATATACTGATAAGGCTTTACTACCATGGTGAGTCAGACTGCTGTCGTGAACAAGACCAAAGCTTTTCAAGTGAGTATCATTAAACATGAATATTTTCATTTATCTTCAAGCTTCCTTCATATAAAAAGGTAAAGTGATTTTTTGTTTAACATGGTTTAATATTAGCTGGATTGTTGTTCCTATAAGTGTCACTATGTGTGTGTGTGTGTGTGTGTGTGTCCTCAGAGAGCTGTGTGTGTCCTGAACAGCCTGCAGAATAATGGACGTCAGAAGAATCCAGGCTTGCAGCTCCAGGCCATGCAGGGATTCCTCCATCGCACTGGCATCGCTGTACGTACAGACATTACACCAGCAATTATTCCATCATCATCCAAGTGTCTCTGTATTGTTTTAATTCTATCTAATTTGTGTAAGAAGAGAGCTCAGCAACTAACCTGGACACATCCAGTCTGATTTATCATCATTAGTTTATAAAGTGGGAATCTTACCTATTTGATAAACTTGAAGGTGCCCTATAGTTTGTATCATCAAGGGGCTCTGTTAGAAGATTAGAAGTCTCTTTATGCTACTTTCACTACTTTACTATACTCCATAATGTGGTGGAAGCAGTTTGGAGTATTTAAGTATTGAAATGTAAAGTAAAGTCTAAGTAGCAACACAGTACAACAGAGTAAAGAATAAGAACCACTCAGTTGATGCATTCCAACACATGTAAATAACAGAAGTCACATAGTCAGAATAGTCAGGATCTGTGTTCATCACTATGTCTGCACCTGTAAATTCTTCAGGTGGGTGAACTGGACAAACTCAACATCATCCATGTCACTGGGACTAAAGGAAAGGTATCAGACAGCAGAACTATCTTCTAATTTAACAGTGAAACAACAATATCCACAATAAAAATGTCTTTTTTCCAGGGATCAACGTGTGCTTTCACTGAAAGAATAATCAGGAATTATGGCTTTCGCACAGGATTTTACAGGTATTAATTATTAATTAATTATATTATATTATTATAATTTCTTAATGAAATATTTTAGAAAATAATTAAGCAGAAATGCCAACAATGATAATGGTGATGCTCACAAAAATAAATGTGTTAATACCAGTGCTCAATTATAACAAAACCATATTAAATATGAAAAAGTATTACAATATTATATTATCATGGTGTTGTATAGATTGGAGTCTGGACTTTGGCTGGTTTTCTCTTCAACTAATTAATGGTTAACAGTTGCTGTTTCAAGTCTGCCTGTCTGGGAGATAACATGAGTTTATCTGTAGTTTGTTTTGGGTAGAGTGAAGGGTAGGGTGAATCTTTTTACTGTTGGTTCATACATTTACATATTAGTCTCAATGCTCTACTAGCTCACACCAACATTTTTACATCTTATGTTAACATACAGTATAACTTTCATTTTTTTCCTTTTGGTGTGTAACACCCCTCGCTAGGTTTCTGTGGAGTTCATTATTTGATCGGTGAAAATGACCACAGTCTTTCTGCCTTTAGCTCTCCACACTTGGTTCATGTCAGAGAGAGAATACGCATCAATGGATGGCCAATCAGCAAGCAGCTTTTTACCAAGTACTTTTGGGAGGCGTATGAGCGACTAGAGGAAACAAAGGTAGGAACCTTTCATGATTTCAGTCCATATGACTTTCATGAAAGTGGATACATGGATTTGTTTATGGTGTTCTCTTGTTTTATTAAGAGATACATTCATATGAGCATCAGTCCACACTTTTTACAACAACCACCATCACTGCACTGAGCTTTTACATCAGTAAACTTGTTCAGTATCCAAGTACACACACTCTGATACCATCAGACATACTTCAACTTTCAACTAACAGTTACACCTCCATGAATCCACAGGATGCCCATGGAGGCACCATGCCCTTCTATTTCCAGTTCCTGACTCTTCTTGCGTTTCATGTCTTCCTGCAGGAGAGGGTAAAGCTGCACATGCACACGCACACACACACACACACACACACACACACACACAGCCTGATACTTTGTTCTCTGTGGCTTTTCTCTGAGCACAGGTGGATTTAGCAGTGATTGAAGTGGGGATTGGAGGGCAGTATGACTGCACAAATATAATTAGGTAATGTTTTGGGTAATGAAATGGTTTTATATATATATTATCTGTCTTGCTTAATAATAGAAAACTAAATATGTTGAGTTCATCATTATGTTTGGTCCATAGGAAGCCATGGGTGTGTGGGATCACATCTCTTGGTTTTGATCACTGTAGTCTGCTTGGAGACACAATGGAGAAGATTGCTTGGCAGAAGGCTGGGATATTTAAGGTAAAACAACATTCCTTCACTTAGTGTAACAAACAGATCCAATGGTTATAAGGTGAATGTTAGCAATTTTATATAATATGTATTCAGTTTGGTGATCTAATGGAGTCCAGGATCTTTTTTACTAGTGTACACCACAGAGAAAGAAAAACAGTCCGGAATAAACGCCTTATACACATTTACAAACTCCACATGATAGATTAATAATTAATACATTCAAATGTATAAATCAGCTGGTAATATTAAACGTTTAAGATCTGTGAATTTGATCAACAAGATGAGGGGGTAAAAGAAACATGGCACAAACTATATTTTCATTGAGTCCACAGTGATGATTATCTTGTATTGAATTGCAAAGCACGTTGTTTTCAGCTGGAGTGATATCAGGTATGATGGTTGTCAGTACAGATCTCCTGTGTTGAGTTTCATATTAAAGCAATCAGAAAGAATTTCAACTTACAGCATTAACAATGTGGAAAGACTGATTTGGTTTGTGTTGTGATGGCTGCCTCTGTCCTCAGCCAGGTGTACCAGCTTTCACCGTCAGACAACAGCCCAGTACCATGACAATCCTGCAGCGCAGAGCTGAAGACATCGAGGTGAGAATAAAGACACTGTCTCTAGCCCTCACTTATATGGGACTGAGGCTGCGTCCAAACAAATATGGTATAGGAATATAGGATCTCTGGAAACACTACTGTCCCAGTTTGAAAACTTCAGGGAAGCATTTTGGTCTAGATCGACAGAATCTGAGACTTTTGGAAACAATGACACAGACACCCACGTTCCTTTTTGTGTCAAACAAGTTACATAGTGAATACAAAGCATTGCCAGCACTGTAGTAAAAATTCCATCTCATCATTGATCCTCAAAAAACAAATCCCTTTTCTTAATCTTCACCATGCTTCTCATTCATAGTAACTTCTGCAACCAACTGCAAATGGTCAAACTGCTTCATTACATTGGCACATGCGTGATCAGAGGACATAAATGGACATGTGATATATTCTTCCAGGTGTGTTAATATGGACAGAGACTCAGCGCTCATCCTGACGTTAAAATGAAAATGTGTTTGTGTGGACATATACGTTTACATATAGCCTTAAACAATACAATAATGGATAGACACAGATGGGACCCACATGTAAAATAAATAATACAATATATATCATATATGCAAATAATTCTATAAAGCCCCTCATCCTGGCTTGATAACTTCAAATCAGTTTCCTTTGAATTGTTATGAAGTGTATTTGTGAGTGTCTGTGTGATTTAGTTCTTTAAAGAAGCTAGCCTTCACAGCACACATCTATGTGATAAAGGCGTCTGAACTTGTTTGTGACCCTCTACAGTGTCCTCTGTACGTGTCTCCTGAGCTGGATCAGTATGAAGCTGTGGGTGGGCCCATGAGCCTTGGACTGGCTGGGACACACCAGCGCTCAAATGCATCACTTGCTTTGCAGCTCAGTTACAGTTGGCTGCAACGCCACAAAGCCGAGGAGACAGGAGGTGGGCCCTTTTCCTTCTAATGGGTGAAAATGGAATAAGTACAACATGGGAAATATGTTGTACTTCACAGTTGTATGAGCAGATCCTACAATGATTGTGAAATGAAGAGCAACAACTGCAAAAAGTCAATGACATCAAACTGTACTGCAGAAGACTTTAAATATGCTAATGAGACCATGAACTTTTAGGAAAATATTTACTGATATTATGAGTCAAGTGAGAAGGTTTCTCATGAACTTAACTACACACTGACTTATTTTAGCAGAGCAGTTACTCTGCTCACTATAAACATTTTCATACATCACCTCAGGAGGAAGGCTGGGGGGCTTTCTCCAGCTTTTTCTCCTTTCACATATGAACAACACAGCAGGAGATTCTCTGCTTAGACACGTTCACAATAGCATCGAAATCTCTGGGGCTTTCAGGTGAGAGGTGGCACCGCAGGCAGAGGCAGAATTGTATTGTATTTATTCTGCTGTGGATAATACGTTTTTGTTGAAAGCACATCGATACCGCCGTCGGCCCTTATCTACAAAACCTCTCTTGCCATCTTTGTCTGTGTTCTCTACGTGTGTGGCACCAAGTTTTTTTTTCATCCCGAGATATTTGTTCTGTTTTTTTTCACTTCTGTGTCTGTCATGTGTTAGAAATGTCATCAGCATTTGCTCATTTGCAGTGAATCCTGCACATACAGGATGTGCAGCTGTTTTCTCACATAAGCTCCTCTGACTTTCTGCAGACTTTGTACTGGGGGCAAAGTCCGCAGAAAGTCTAGATGCTCTCACTTGAACATTTACTTTCACACATACACTCTTAGTCTGAGGGATCTCCAGAGTTCAGTGTGTGTAAAGCAACTTATTAGAAAGAATGATAAAAACAGCAATTTGCAATGGATTCACTTTTTAGATCTGGACTGTACATGGCGTTTTGTATTCATACTACAAAGGTAGTACAGGTTACCCAGCTGTGTTATTGGACCAATGTAAAGCCTGACAAAAAAGCACAAAGACTCTGGACACCAGTTTTATTTCTTTCTCTTGAAAATTCTAAGCACAACAAGGACACCAGTCTGCTCTTCTATCAGCTGTCACAGATTCCCAAAGTGCTCTGCCTTTTCTTCTCCAGGCAGCATCTAGAAAAGCAATGTTTAAAGCTTCCTGGAGATTCAAAAAACAAAAACCTCCCAGTTAAAGGTTCAGTGTGTAGCATTTAGTGACATCTAGTGGTGAAGTTGCATGTTGCAGCTGAACACCCCTCACCTCACCCTCTCCTTCCAAACATGAAAAAGAACCTGTGGTAGCTTCAGTTGTCATAAAAACTCAAAAGGTGTTTAGTTTGTCCAGTCTGGACTAATGTAAAAACCATGATGGCCTCCGTAAAGAGCACCTGCTCCCTGTGTAACTATTAAGTATTTAAATATATAATCATCAGGATTATTTTATATTAAATTTCTGCCAATAGGTCCCTTTCACCTAAATCTTACACACTGAACCTTTAACATTACATTTCCTCAAGTCTTCATCACCAAGTTTGGAGAAGATCAGATGAGCAGGACAGACAAGCAAAGATTCCTCCTAGTTACTGTACATGAGCTAACAAGCAGGTGTCTTTCTAGTGAAAATGAACTTTTTTCACGCATTTCTTTACATGGGGCCACTTTTCCTGTGATCTGCATGATGTGAACCTGTGAGCCAACACCTCACTACAAAGGTTGTGGGTCTTCTTTGATTTCTTCCTTGTTTGCTGTGTTAATTGTGTGTGATAATGCTGGGACCTCACACTTGTGAAAACTTGCAGGTGGTCACAGCTTAGTTCCTGCAGGCTGCAGACTGAGCTCTCAAGCTGCCCCATTCCAGCCCAGCACAGCTATGTTGAAAGGCAAGTTTCAAAAGGAAGATAGAAAAATGTATCTGCACTATCTTGCATACACCTTTTTTTTCTTCCATTCACTTTTTCAAGAGCTCTTCCACCCCCATTAACTTAATAGTGAGTTTAAAACCTGACTCGCTCACTTAACCTGTCACATTTAATAACTAATGTTTAATTAAATATCACTAGGTCACTTTCTTTTTGCTCGGCTGTAATGCATATATAATTTGCTGCCACTAGGGATCGCCCAATCAAAACAAGTGTGTTAATGGAAGTTGTCGTTGTCAGTGCAGTCAGATTTCTCCTGGTAAGGACCCCTTCATGATTCTGGAGGTTTTTACAGGAGATGGTCTCCTCCTCCTACATGAACTGACCTGCTGATTAAATCCGATAAAAACACTGAGTAAGGCACCCTCATGTTCAAAATCACTGTTTGAATCAGAGGGACTGTGAGATCATTTGGTTTGTTTAGCTTATTTCTCTGACAACTTAAGATCCAGATGTCTTTGTATAATATATTTATAATATGTGCTTTACTACACCAAATACCAGCTTTTAAATCGGCCTTCCTCTATTTAAGCTTAGGTGTACATTACCTACATTTGTTTGTCTTTGTGTGTTTCTCCTGTTTATTTCCCTAACATCTTTTTGTTCTGCCTTGAAAACGTGCTAGATAAATAAACTCGCCTTACCCGCTCCCTCCCCATCCCCCTCCAGGTCTACAGGAAACAGAATGGTTGGGACGAAACCAGATGCTAAAGTGTGGCTCTGTCACATATTACCTGGATGGAGCACATACCACTGCCAGTATGCAGGCCTGTGTCTGCTGGTTCAGACAGGAGATGATGCAGAGAGATCAGACTCAGTAAGAGAAAACTAACACTGAAATGTATGTGTGGTCCTCAGATCCGCAGGTACGCTTAATTAATACCACAATTTAGAAATACTCTTTTACCAGTAACTGAAGTAATTAAAGGAAAAGTAAGGATATTCAATGTGCAAGTACTAAAAATGATATGAAGAGTCATTCTGCTCGTGATGCAGCAGTATCAGATAAAGGGATATAAGCTGCAGTGGTTTATATTTTTAATAAATAAAAGGGGAATAATTTGAATGATATCAACTTTTTTATTTGCTGGATCAAATATTCTCTCAGTTTACCTTGTCTGTGTCTTGTTGCTGCTGAGCTGTCTGTCTCAAAGATGTGGTGAGGGAGTTTATAGTTTGTGCTCACAAAGCTAATGTACACACCAAGTGTTTCCACAACCACTGCCCCAATTCATGCAAACACAGACTGTCAGGAACTACTTTCCACTGAAGAAATAGTCCTGAGGAAAGCTGTTTCAAAGTGTGTGGATGGTCAGCAGGAAAGGATACACTGTTTCTGGAAAGAGACAAAAACAAGAAGGAATTCCATTTCTCAGTGGATGGATCCATTACACCAAAACTATCTGGATAACAATAGAGAGAAGAAATATGTGTTTAGTAATGTTTTTGTTGTTTTAGAGGAGTGACTTTCAGAACTAGATCTTCTTCTGGGGCTGGCCGTGGCTGAGACACACACTCTGGGTGTGTGTCCTCTAACTAGAAGCTGGTTCGATCCCAGTCTTCCCCACCTGAAGTGTCCTTGGGCAAGATACTGAATCCCAAATTGCCCCTCAGTGCTGCCCATGGATGCACTGTATGAATGTGTGTGTGAATGTCAATAAACTGTCCTGTAAAGTGCTTTGAGTGGTCCTTAAGACTAGAAAAGTGCTTTATAAATACAAACCCTGTCTGTCTTACAGGAGCCGTGCACTTAAAGTCCTGCTCTTTAACACAACGGGAGAGAGGGACCCTGCTGCGTTACTCAAAGTGCTGCTGGTGAGTCAAACACAAACTTCAGTGCATCCACAACACCCACATGACACTAATGACTGTGTGTGACTTGCAGCCCTGCCAGTTTGACTACGCTCTCTTCTGTCCCAACGCCACGGAAACACCTGCTGACAACACAGGTGAGATGAGTGATGATTTAATCACTGTCATGCATGGGATCCTGCCTGATTTCCTCCATTTTAGTGGAACTCTGGGGCTTGTTGAACAAAGTGAGCCCTGGAATACAGATTTATTTACACTGTGTGGTCTGGGAGAGAATAAGTGTTACCCAACAGATGCAAATATCTTAACTGATTCTTGAATCAGTTGAATCTTATGTGATTTTTGCATCTGTTAACATGGATTTAATGTTGTTGAGAGTTGTGTGTGATTTTCATCAATTTCTCAGGGAATAATATGGAGATCTTGATTAAGAAAAAATCTGGCACATTGTGGGGATTGATATCTATGAGTGAGTGCAAATTTGATGCTGACTGAAAAGACTGGAGGTCTACCAAAATGCCCAGCTTCTATTTTCATTTAATGGTACAAAAATCTTCTTCATTAATGGAGCACTTCAGGGTGTTGTGTTGAAACACATGGGGAGTTTTTCTCTCCACAGTCACCACAGTGCTGCTCATATTGGGAACTGTTGGGTTTCTCTATATTAATAAGGTTTTAAGGTCTTGACCTTCTATGTAAAATACCTTGAGATAATGTATATTGTGATTTGGTGCTATACAAATAAAACTGAATTGAATCTGTTTAAAGATTTTAAATACAAGCAAGGCACGTTTGTTTCTAAAGCAAGGCAATTTAAAGTGATTTTAAATGAGCAACATCTCATTTTAATTGGTGTATCTTAATAAAGAGTGTTATAAATAGTTTCTGGTTTGTCCATGTATCACCTCTTCATATTTCTCTTTTCTACAGTAAGTTGTTTTTGTCACTATATTGGGTGGGGGTGAGGGGGTGGGGTGGGGCGTTGATTTAAAAATGTGAACAGCATATTGTCACATGTCTTTGACATGTTAAAACAGGTTTTAAGCAGATCAGTAAAACATTTGACAGTGGATGGGAAATATTTGCACAGTATATAGTATTTATACAAATATATTCTTTAAACGAGTCAGCAGGGTTTATTAATATTTCTTCTTTTTGTATTCACATGCACTCCTGCTTCTCCCATGCTGCTGCCCTCTGCAGCTCATCACAGCATCAGTGTGTGTGTGCAGCGCCTACTGACTCGCTGCAGAGAAAACCAGAGCAGCTGGCAGCACCTGAACACAGCAGAAACGATCCATCCTCACCAGCGCCACCTGGTGACCAGCTCTGCGAGTCACAGCCTGGTGTTCCCCTGCATTCCAAGCGCCCTCCGATGGATAAAGCAGGGAGAACAGCCAGTGTTGAAACCCGCTGGATCAATGGGCCCCACTGAGTTCAATGACAGGCTGAGAGAGACGGGTACCATCTCTGTGCTGGTGACTGGAAGTCTGTACCTGGTGGGAGGAGTACTCAAACATCTGGAGCCTTCATTGGACTCATGACTCATCTGAGTCAACATAGTCTCTTTGATAAATGTGATGATCAACAGCAGCACTCTAAACTAATGGTTTACATTCAACAGTTACAGACACTGTTATTTATCATGGCCTGTTTGTACCCCAGTCACTCTGCAACCGTATTTCTATGATAGTCATATATGGAGACAAACTCTGTTCTACCCAACAGTTAATTGATATTCTAGGTTTACAAATAGAGTTTCAATCCCAGGACTGTTTCTAGAGATTGTAATAATACCTCCAACTTGATATTTTAGCTAGGTGTCACTATGACATCAGGTTATAAAGCCAAACGTATGTGGAGCATTTACAATATGTGGTTTGTTTCTATATCAAAAATATTGGTCACTACTTGAAAGCTTTCGTCTCTGTTTATATAGCTGGTTTAATATTTAATTTAATTGACACAAAATTATGTTACATGATCTATTTCAATTATACTACTGCTTATTTTTTATTTATTCATTTGAAATGAAACATTTTTGATGACAAAGATTTAAAATGAAATTGTTTTGAAAAGTTCATCATGGAATTAAGTCAACCTATGAGTGCATATTCAAGTCGATCTCCCTATACAAATAAACTGTGGCAGCAAATATGGTTCGGAAATGCACTGCTTTTGTTAGCAATGGATTCAGAGTGCGGTCGGCCAAAGCACATGACTGTCACAACAGTGACCAGAGCCCACATCCGGAGCCCTACCTGCAGCATAGTCCATGCAACAAAAGCCCCATGACTGGAGACAGATCATGGTTCTTTTGTGCCTGTATTTGTATACTGAAGTCACATGCTCAGACACAGTGGGTATAATTCAGATATCTGAACATTGTCTCAGACATGTATTATGTGATGTAACACATTAAAGAAACTGACGTGCATGATTATTTTTTAATATCAAAATGCTGATGATGACCAATGCTAAGCCTGAATCACAGATCAGGCAAAGCAACAACTGCTCAGGACTTCTGAAGACTCACTCCCGCTCAACTTGTATTAAATATGTCGTAATTGGATTAAAGTAAAGTTATGACTTTTAAATTGTTTTAGTTCAAGTGAGGCAAAACTGATATTACTGACAATTAGATCTCCTTAAATGGGTTTATAATAAGAAACACCTGAGCCTCTATTTTGAAAAACAGAGTGCACCTCACCTTACAAACTTTTCCTTTCTAAATCAATGTGATATTTCGTCAATGTTTTACATTGAAATTCAACCTTCTCTTATAAAATGACACAACATGCAGATACTAGAAATACATGTCTGTCCTGAATCCCCTGCTGTGAATTCCTGGTTGGAATGTCAGAGCTAAGCTGACAGGCAGACACAATCTTAAAAGCTCAGTGGAATTCAATGTTTTTCTATTATATTTACTTTCCAAATATTACTAGAGGAAGTTTGCTTTGATCCCTCCTAGCTTTGTTCAAATCCCTTTTCATTACTTGAGTATTTGAGCTGCCATACTTCAGACCAGGTTTGGGTGACAAAGGGTTAATGGGGGATGTTTTAGAAGGTTGAGGGGCCCACTGGGGGTGGGGTGAAGAAGGCACTACTCGGATCTGCTGTCTCTCTAGCTTATTAGCCCCTCATCAAGATTACTGCAGACATGGGGCCAGAGGACAGGACAACAGATTGAGGCCTGACAATCTGTTTTCACCATGCAGAGAAAATAGCTGTTTTCTGTACTGCAGACATTCTCATGTTGAACTTGGAGGTTAAGCCACACATCCAGCTAGTTTAATGAAAATATAATATATTGTACAGTACGATTTAGACTCCAGACGAGCATTGATCACATTTTAATAAGAGCCAAAAGAGATTGACAGACCTGTGTACAGACATGTAGTAAGTACAACCCCAATTGGCCTGTAAAACACTTTATTGTGCTAATCAGGTATTAGAGACAACGGGAGCAATTAGTGAAATCACAACACAGATTTGTTTTGGCCAGTTACTGTCAGCCAACAACATTTCTCCCTCATTGAGAAACCTTAGGGATTTGGTCACGTATCTAATACTGCGGCTCTTTAAGATGCTTGAACAGGCCAGAATCCTCTTACTGGGACTCCCACCCTCTCACTAATTCTCCAGAGGAGAAGGTAAAAACAGTGTCGTGGTCATGACTTTTTCTTACAAGTGACTGCAATAACCATTATTTTCACTTAACATGTATCTGTAACATAGATTACTATTTTTTAATTTGCAAAAACTATGAAATGTCAACAGACTGACTGAATGCTACATGTCTGAACCTGGACAAGTGTTCAAATTCCATTGACTTTTCCACTTTCATATTCAATGGTCCCCAGTGGAGGTTTCTTAATGATGATGGCAAACCTTTGATCTTTGCCAAAATGAACCACACTTCTTCAACACCACCAAAGTGGATGAATTATCAAGTTAGATATTGATGTCCACCAATGTTGTGGCAGTATTAGGTCAAAACTAAATATAAATGGTGCTGTTTTTTTTCATGATCGTTAATCGGTCCGGGCTTGTTTTCAATACGCTTTTGTTATTTATTTTGTTTCAAAACTGTCAATTGTGTTCTAAATAACAAAAATAAAGTTATTTTCTTTGTCATTTTCTTCTTTAGTTTAATAAACCACATTTCACCTTTCAAGTTAAAACATAAAATAAGTACTTCCTGACTTAAAGGTTCAGTGTGTAGAATTTTGTACCCCTCACCTTTCCCTCCCCTTTCAAACATAAAAAAACCTGTGGTAGCCACATTTTTATGAAAACTCAAAAGGTGTTTAGTTTGTCCAGTCTGGATTAATGTAAAAAACATTGCGGCCTTCGTAGAGAGGACCCCCTCCCTATGTAAATATAAAGTATTTAAATATAAAGGCCCATTCTAGGGTAAATAAACAACAATTTGTACAATTTAGATGAAACACACTAGTGAGAACATTGCTAAGATTAATTTATATTCAATTTCTGCCAGTAGATTCCTTTCACCTGAATCTTACACACTGGATCTTTAATGCCTTTCTAAACTCCAAATATAGCAAGCTTATTTGGAGACCATTCCAAACCTTAGGGCAGTGGAATAATCCAACTCTTTGTAGTCCTAAAGTTTGCACGAGATGCATTTAGAAAGACCCAGATAGAGAGCATAGAAGCTGAACTCAGAGGTGCACAAGGTTTGATAAGTGAGCACCAACATTTATTCTAAAATGAACAGAAAGCCAGTGCAGAGAGGTTATAGGTAATAGGTGTATTATTTGACCATGTGTTGAATCAAAGCCCAGTAGCACAGTTTTGAATGGTTTGTAAACAGAGTAAGGATGATTACAGTTCAGTATTGATGTGATAATGGCATTTAACACATTCATTTGGCTGTTTCTGAGGTGAAAGACACACAATGGAGTCATTGTTTTTATTTTGATCCTAAAAACTCATGGATTATGTAGACTGGACCGAGAAGATGAAGAAAATGAAGAGGTTCACAGAGGTTCTGCCTGATTGTTAACTGGAGACTCCGGACCTTCTCCTGCCAGTCCCTGGTGAAAACTCTGGATAATGTCCGTTTGATTCCAGGTGAGAACACAGCAAGAGATCCTCTGGAGGATCCACTGTGAGCAAGACTGCATGTTGATGATGATTCTAATACATGAAAAACGGAACAATGAAAAAACTAAAAGAAACAAATATCTTGTGACCAACAAAGATGTCAAGATAACTTTTGGTGATAAGGGCTGATGCCGGTATTGATGTGCTGTTCACAAAAACTAAAACTGCTCTCTGTTGTGGAATCAATATGTTACACCCTGCTTGATGTGCCAACCCTCACCTGAACGCTCCAGAGATTTGATTTCTGTTTTGTTGTGAATGCGTCTGAACGGAAAATCTCCTGCTGCTTATTTATGTGCGAAAGGCAAACTCTTGTAAAAGACACCATAGTGAGGAAATTCTCATGAGTTAATGTCTGAAAACGGCATATGCCAGGGGGAGAGGGTGTGAGCTCATCCTCATCACCTGCTGCAGAATCAGGTCTGTTTAGACCAAGCTCATTTATCCTCTTTTTTTCATGTTGGGGTGTTTTCCCCTGAAACCGATCAGCTCGCAGCAGACATAACTGATGTTTGACGTACCTGAGATGTGAGGGTCGGCCAATCACATTAGATTTAAAAAAGTAAAGCAATACATAATAACTTAACTTATAAATAAAATTGGGCATGTCTGGGGCACAGAGCTGTTTTCATGGACGACTGCAACAACCAATTAAAGAGCAGCCTCAGGTCCCAGGTTGCCAAAACTTTCAGGATCCACATTCACTTCCATTTAGCCGGTGCCCTGCACCCGGACGTATTATGTCTTTAGACAGAAATTAACATCATACTATTTGAAACCCTCACAAACTGAATGCTCACAGGAGTTTACAGTCTACCAGGAGCATTGTATCAGTGAATTATTATATTATTAAATTATGTTTAACATTTTCGTACAGGCTTTTTTGTCTCAGGATGTTGGAGGGGGCGGCGCCCCAGCACCCTTATTCACCAGCCGCCCCTGGTTGAAGGAAACAGCATAGTTGACAGCCTTTAATGAGACTTAAGGATATTTCTTGCAGGAGGATATTAGATTAGAGAAGTAAGAGGATCTCTCAGCTTTCACCATTTCATTAAGGGAGGCCATACGTTCTCTGAAATACAGGCTTTTCACATGGAAATGTTTTCTGTGGAGTGGATTGTCCTAAATTTAAGAAGGCCACCTTATGTATTAATTGTCAAATTATTTGATTAGAAAATTCAGGTTTTCATCTTTAAAAACAATCTTACTATCAAACAGTGGCAGCAAATATCATAATTCCCATACATGAGGGTTAACAGAGTAACAGCAGCTTATGCTATTTCTCACTTGGCATAGACTAATTGTAAAACGATTAGAGATGTATTCAATAGGTTTTCCACACACAATAAACTGGTTGGTGACTGAATGAAAGCATTGTTTGTTGGCACAAATCTATTTTTGTGAAGTAGGTCAAATTAGACCATTCACTTATGGTATTGACCAAGGTTATTAAACTTCTTTTTAATACATTTTTGCAGAATACATGAGCAATGTAGGTTGTCAAGTGGACTAATGTAAAATGTATCAATGAAAAAGATGAAAGGGAAGGTCGCAAGTTTTCTCAGGGAACCAAATACTTTTGTTTGTGGGCCACAATTCGTCTACCTTTGCTATATGTCAGATGAACTTTGCTTGACACATTCATGCTTATTCACCACAACTATTGAATAAACACATAACGCATTTCTCATATGTTAACATGGAGGAGGTGGGAATTATGACCTATACTGCACCCAGCCACCAAGTTGTGATCAGGCCCCATTAGCTTCACTTTTGGGGAGGAGTCACATCATCTTTGTATACAGCCTATGGTTGAATGAATCAAGTTACAAAACTTAATCCTTCCCATAATCTTGTATTGGTGCTCTCAGCTTGGTTAATGTCCTTGTCTTTCCACTGCACCTCCCTTGTAAAAAAGTATGTCTCATAATCATTTGTATTCTCCAAGCAACAGCCGACATAACCCTGGTGACGTCATCATGGTTATTGTCTCCAGAACCACATTGGATGAGATACAACAGCAAGAACAGTAATCCAATAGAAAAAGCACCCTTTTAATTCCATGTACAAATACATGTCCTCCTCCTTAGTGTCACCTTTTAGATGTGTTTTTGTACTTTTCCTATCTTCCTTTAGTTTAGCCTAGTAACCTTCAGTTTAGCTTAGTTGTTATGCCAGTGCGCTCTGTGTTAAATGGAGTTTGAATGCCTCCCCATCTGAGCACTGCAGCATTCTTTGTTGCCAGTTTTTTTTTTTTAAGGGGATGGAGGGGGTGAGGTTAAGGCTCGCAAGGCAATTGGAGCTCTTTTGAAATGCCATTGTTGAGACGTGGAGGGATTGTGTGCAGGGGAGAGGGAGAGAGGGAGTGGGTGAGATGGAGTGCCCACAGCAAATCTCCTGTCTGGAACTTTATAAGGAGACATAAATTATAAACAGCCCTGTCCCTCCTCTCACCAGACAAGGTGGGAAATGTTATCTGGGATTTTTTTTACAAAGAAAACAGAAAAGGCCTGCTAGTGGTCAGAGTGTTAATAGATGCACCTCAGTGGGCAGTGATTGACTGTTGTAAACTTCACTTTCTCTTCAATAGCAGAATTAGTACAGACAGCCCATTAGCAGCCAGCTGCTGCTCTTCCCACACCTTGTTAAATACCACCAACAGTGTTTCTTCTCTAACTACTTTGTACCAGTGGAAACCTGATCAGCAGCAAGTGCATCTTACATCTGAGGGATTAATCTAAAATAATACTTTGTTCACACACACAGACAAACATATATATATATATATATATATATATATATTTATTTATATACATATTGACTGTTGTAAGGAAGTAATATCACAGTGATCTCCTGCATCGACAACACTTTTTCACTTTCTCGACCCCAGTCTGACCTCTAGGAGGTTTTGTACAATGCTGTATACTTACCCTGTGGGTTAAAGAAACTTGCATTCATACATTCCCAAATACAAGGTAACTAATTTCCGCATTATATCCGGAAATTAATGGACCCTGACTTTCACTTTAACTTTGAAGTCTGGAGCAAGTTGCAACAAGATCTTTTAAGAGAGCACTCCCATTAATCGTCCATTAAGAGAAAGGGTCAGTGTCTTTATATACAGTCTATGGTCAGTGTATACAGTGGAATGGAGCATGCAGTGATTCAGTGCAGCTTAGAGTTTAATGTCAGGAAACGTAATTATATACCGTGCAGGTGTAAAAGGAGAATGTAAGTTAACATCCTGTTCATAGCTGTCATTTTCCAGGCATGAAATCTATCATTGTGTGAGATTGTATTGTGTATTTGAAGCATGTTTGATTCCCCACAGACCACTGCCCCATATGGTGCCATGTATAAACTGTAAACACTGACTCAGAGGGACAGATTGTGTTGTTCATTAATCTGGACAGTGTTTGTTTCCAGAGAAGACGACCCCCTGTCATGGCGTGTCTGTGCTCTGGATGAAACTGGATTGAGAGAATGAACCAAAGTTTGCATGTAACCTGACTGGTCAGGTGAAGCAAAGCTACTTTATCATCAACACATTATTCACATTATCAGCTCCTTTGATTAACTCAAGATGGTGACTTGTTTTAATGTAGTTGCATTAATCCATCTGTTCCTGCTTATACTTGAGGGTTGAAGGGGAGGCAGGGTTCACCCTGTTCAGACCTGATATATCTGTCTCGCATGGTCTGATCGCAAGTGGAAGTGTTGCCAATGCCAGGTCAACAACCATTCACTCCAGCTCATCATGCATCATACAGGTCAGCTGGTGGGAGGTGGGTGGGAGTTTACAAATATCTTTCAGAGACATTGTGATTACCATCCACCCCTCTCTCTCTCTCTCCCACACACACACAAACACACACACACACACACACACACATGCACATCTCTCTGCTTCTACACTATTATTCTTATAATTTGTAGGACTGAAGATCTGAAGGAAACATTGCCATTGTTTTATGTGTGTGTGTGTGTGTGTGTGTGTGTGTGCGTGTGTGTGTGTGTGTGTGTATGTGTGTGTGTGTGTGTGTGTGTAGCCCTGTGTGTGATATGAACAGGGAAAAGAGGCAGCTGTTGGTTTATTGACACATATTTCTGTGGATAGTGCAGATTGACTCTTTAATATGGTATTCAAAAACCAAACAACCATTTTTTGACTGTGGGAGGGTATTTTGTTAAGTTTTAAGAGAGGAGCCACTGGTTTACCAGGTTCACATGGAACCTCCCCATTACTCATGTCCTAACTTGTTTGTTCAAAAATACATTAACTGACTTTAAAAGAGAAAACGTTACACTTTTAACAATTACTATTTTGTTTCTAATTAATTGTTTAACAGTTTCTTTTCCAGTATTGAGATGGATGGTTTCCGTGCTGTGTCGTCTGTGGGTTGCTCCCCACAATAAATCACCCTGCCCACACAGAGCTCAGCTTTCACCTCCATTAACTGTACAGCAATGTTGGTCTGTAGGGCGTGAAATGAGGTAAGGCTGATTGTTTGACTTTGTGGTCACAAAATATTGTAGAAATATGCCACTTAAAGGGCTGATATTGCTATAGTCAGTTATCATCCTTTCAAACTATGTCAATAACATCCATGCAGTAGTAGACGAAGTATCCAAACATTTTACTATAAGTTCTGAGTTACTGATTTTTGGGGAATGACTGTTGGTATTTGAAAACAAACGCACCCCTCCCTTCACCCGGTCCAGCCTGCAGCCTGCTATTGACGCAACTTGCAATAGTCTCTCCACTGTTTTAACAGCTTGCCAATGATCATGCAGGTCTTTCTTTTGTTATTTGGTCTCTTCTTTGTATTAGTTCCCTGCTAGATCTGATTGGATCAGTAAAATAATTACTCTCAGTGTTGA